CCACGATGAACAGAAAATACAGGAAGGGTTTGGTGGGCATTGACCTTGAGTTTTGGAGTTGTAGTTCACCTACATCCAGAGAGTACTGTGGACTCAAACAATGATGGATCTGGACCAAACTTGGCACAAATACTCAATATGCCCAAATGTGAACACTGGTGGAGTTTGGGGTAAATAGACCTTGACATTTGGGAGTTGTAGTTGCTGGGATTTATAGTTCACCTACAATGAAAAACATTCTGAACCCCACCAATGATAGAATTGGACCAAAAGTCCCACACAGAACCCTTATGACCACAGAAAATACTGTGTTTTCTGATGGTCTTTGGTGACCCCTCTAACACCCCCTTGTGACCCCGCAGGGGTCCTGATCCCCAGGCTGAGAAGAACTCTATTAAATGCTTGTGCAAGGGATGGAGGCAATAGAGCAGCAGGGACTGCCTCCTGCCTTCCTGTCCTTCCCTAGAGAGAATTGATCTTATTCCTCTTCTTTCTTTGGGTAGTGGACTATACAAGGATGGGCACAGCTCCCATTGTTCAGTTACCTCCTTCCCTCCTTTCACATATTGGTTCAGGGAGCTAGTTTTAACTTGGAGGCAAAAAAAGACTGAGAGGAGACATGTTTAAACATTTGAAAGGATGTCACATTACAGAGTTGGGTAAGCTTTTCTGGCACAGAACAATAGATTCAAATCATAGGAAAAGAGATTCCACTGAAACATTAGGAAAAACCTCCTGATGGAAAGAGGTATTTGGCAGAGTATAATGGGGTCTCCTTCTCTGGAGGTTTTTAATTAAATGCCTATCTGCTGGGAGTGCTTTGATTGTGTTTACCTGCATGGCAGGAGTTTGGACTTGGTGGCCCTTGTGGTTTCTTCCAACTCTGATTCTATGATCCCATGGCCACTTAATGGCTGTCACAATATCTCTCATTGCTACCATATTTATTTATCATTTATTTATTTGCCATACTTGTACCCCACCCTTCTCTATCCCAACAAGGGGACTCAAGGCCGCTTACAATGGCACAAACATCGTGCCTTAACAAAAACTACCTAAACATTTCAAAAACTGCAACATATTAAACAGAATTAAAACAGATTTAAAATAAAAAGCTTAGAAAATACACCATCCAAAGTTCATGGTCTGGGTCTTTTCCAGGTCAAATTGCACAAGGTTTCGATTCAGAATACTGCATTACCCTAGTTTCCAAAGGCCTGCTCACAGAGCCAGGTTTTGACTCTTTCCTAAAGGCTAATAGGGAGGGAGCTGCTCTGATGTCGCTAGGGAGGGAGTTCCACAACCGAAGGGCCACCCCCGAGAAGGCCCTGTCCCTCATCCCTGCCAGCCAAGTCTAATGCTCACCCTTTTTGTGCTGAATTACATTGCCAAAATTGGGGTGCACATTAGATCCAATGGCACATTAGAATTGTTCACATAATACAACCTATGAAAGGCCCAGGGGAACCAGGAACCCTGGAGAATGGACACAGAGGTGGAGACATACAAAGAGGCTATTCCCAGTAGTGGCAGCAGCCTCAGGATTCTCTGGTACCCAGAGAAGTAGGAGGAGTATTCAACTGATGATCTTGTCATTCTTGCTTCTTAGCTGCAGATCCTGCTTCCCAGGCAGCCCCCAGGGCTGTTCAGAATCAAGGTGTGCATTACATTCAGTGGTGCATTATACTTAAGTAAACACAATATATTAAACTAGTGGATATACCCATCATTGCCCAGGCCTCCTTGAGACAGCTGCCCCCTGCTTTCAACCTTTCATTTTCTTTCTCTCCCCTCATACCTTTCTCCCTTTCCTTTTGAGCACCATCTCACAAATGAGCCAGGCTGTGACAAATGAGAATCATAGAATCAAAGAGTTGGAAGAGACCTCATGGGCCATCCAGTCCAACTCCCTGCCAAGAAGCAGGAATATTGCATTCAAATCACCCCTGACAGATGGCCATCCAGCCTCTGTTTAAAAGCTTCCAAAGAAGGAGCCTCCACCACACGCCAAGGCAGAGAGTTCCACTGCTGAACAGCTCTCACAGTCAGGAAGTTCTTCCTCATGTTCAGATGGAATCTCCTCTCTTGTAGTTTGAAGCCATTGTTCCGCGTCCTAGTCTCCAAGGAAGCAGGAAACAAGCTTGCTCCCTCCTCCCTGTGGCTTCCTCTCACATATTTATACATGGCTATCATATCTCCTCTCAGCCTTCTCTTCTTCAGGCTAAACATGCCCAGCTCCTTAAGCCGCTCCTCATAGGGCTTGTTCTCCAGACCATTGATCATTTTAGTCGCCCTCCTCTGGACACATTCCAGCTTGTCAATATCTCTCTTGAATTGTGGTGCCCAGAATTGGACACAATATTCCAGGTGTGGTCTAACCAAAGCAGAATAGAGGGGTAGCATGACTTCCCTAGATCTAGACACTATGCTCCTATTGATGCAGGCCAAAATCCCATTGGCTTTTTTTGCCGCCACATCACATTGTTGGCCCATGTTTAACTTGTTGTCCACGAGGACTCCAAGATCTTTTTTACACGTACTGCTCTCGAGCCAGGCATTGTCCCCCATTCTGTATCTTTGCATTTCGTTTTTTCTGCCAAAGTGGAGTATCTTGCATTTGTCACTGTTGAACTTCATTTTGTTAGTTTTGGCCCATCTCTCTAATCTGTCAAGATCGTTTTGAATCCTGCTCCTGTCCTCTGGAGAAGCAGGATCCCTGTTGCAATTTCTCATTGCAACTTTGATTGTTGGCGGGAGGAGGTTGGAAACATCCTCCTCCTTGACCCTCATCAACAGCTGAGAAGACCTCCTTCACTCAATGTGGCTGCTGGCCATTAAGGTGGGCTGGAGGGTTGTGGCCATTATGTCTTGCTTAGAGGTCCTCACCTTTTCACCCACACAAGCTTTCTGCTATCACACCTTAAAGCAAAACACAAATGTTGTGTCTCCAACAACTTCCTTCCCCAGATACTTTCTTTTACCTTCTTTACCTGAGGAAAAAGCTTCTGAACTTGGAATGCTGCATGATACATTTTGTAGAGCTGTAAATCCTCACCTATTTCATCCTCATCCACAATAATGAATAATTTACCATAGTTTTCTCTCTGCTTCAGAAGAAAATGAACATTTCTCCACAGTACTCTTCCTATAGTCAAACCTCTTGAAATACAGAGGTATTAATCTGTGAAGAAATACCTATGGGGTTTGGTACAAAAACCCCATATAAAATGAAAGCAACGTGTTTTCTGCAGAAAATGTGTTTCCTGTACAGAACATTTTTCACACCCATTTCCCTTATATATAAAATTATATTTCTCTGCAGAATAATTATTCCACAACATATGGAACATTCCAACACCAAAAGCAAAAAGTATTGCTGCTGTATTATTCAATACTCATCCTTATGGGATTTTGTGAGTGTGGGGAAACTTGTTTTTGACTTGGAAATGAATAATTGTAAAAAAATTTCTCATTTTGTGCTCTTTTCTGGTCTGACAAAGTATCATCACAAGATGAACTAAATAACAGGTGAAATATTTTTCTTGGTGTCTGGTTTTTAGGCCTGTTTCTGGGGTTATTTGGAACATTGATTCAGAAAACTGCATTGGATAGACTGCATCAGTTCTAGTTTCTTAGATATAGCTGTCATGATTTTCTATGAGCAACATATGAAGACTGGTATAGCATATGTTTTTGCCTCAAAAACTAGAGCTGATGCTATTTTTGGAATCAGCAAGTCACATATGCCCAGTCACAGGGCTAACATTTGAGGACCAAAATGTGTGTTGGCCAATTTAATCATTGTTTTTGTTAGACCACAGCCACCAGTTGTTTTTGTTCTTAATTTCTGGCAAGCGCACATCAACTTACATTGTTTGCATTAAAACGAGATCTTCATGTCACCCTTAGGTTTTGGAAACGCAGGGCTCTGGCTTCTTTACTGTATCTATTCACCGGCAACATGCTATTCCTCTTTTCCAACTGCCTTCTACCTTGCCTAGCACCATTATTATCTCTCATGGAGCACATTGTTTATTATATATTAAAATTACCATAATTTCACCATATTGGACTTCTCAGATTTTTCAGGAGGGAAGGATTTGGAGTCCTTATTAGCATAATGGCTAAATATTAGCAGCTGCCCAGCATTGTGAAAGAATTCATTTGCATTAGTAAATTTGTTCAATTTTTTTTGTATTAGTTGGTTGGTTTAAGGCTGGAAAAGGTTTGAAGCTGAAAATAGGTTGGGTGATTGACTTTTTTTCTCTGTTACTAACTTATACCTCATGTGGAAGGAAGAGGAGACGGGTCACCCTTGCATATTTTGGTTATCTTCATTTCCTCCTCAACTATATAACTTATTAGAGTCCATTTTCTATTGCCTCACCTTGAGGAATGTACACAAGAGCTTCCCATTTATCCAGTGATGGAAACATTCACTGTTGACTAAGAATAGTCTGAATAAAATTGGTTTGGGACCCAATTTTTTTGTGTGTGTCAGGAGAGACTTGAGAAACTGCAAGTTGCTTCTGGTGTGAGAAAACTGGCTGTCTGCAAGGACGTTGTCCAGGGGACGCCTGGATGTTTTGATGTTTTTCACATTCTTGTTGGGAGGTTTCTTTCATGTCCCTGCATGGGGGGCTGGAGCTGACAGAGGGAGCTCATCCATGCTCTCCCTGGATTCAAACCTCAAACCTGTCGGTCTTCAGTCCTGCCGGCACAAGGGTTTAACCCATTGTGCCACCGGGGGCTCCCATTGTGCCACCTGGGCCATTGGCTTTAAGGGGATGTTGGACTCCACAATTGAAAAGGTTGGAATACTTCTATGCCGTGTACCATCTGCTTCATCATTTACTGTCAATAAAACATATTGCCAATAAAGCTAAATGTTTGTCAGTGTCTGGCACTGAAAGAACTCTTGGCGAGGACTGGAACTACACTCAGTTCTGGAATAATGCTGCCATTCATAATGTGGCTCACCACACTTTCCGTTCTTACAGGCTGGACAAAATTTGCTCGATTGACACGTGCTTTGACGAACAGCCGGAGCGTTCTGCAGCAGCTGACTCCTATGAACAAAGCAGAGGTCGTCCATAAACACTCACGGTTAGCTGAAGTAAGTGCTCATCTTGCCTCCTGCTGTGGTTGTTCCCTACCACATAAAGGCAAAGGGAAGTGAGATGTGGGTTAAGTGACTGGTGGAGCTCCTAGAGGTGGCAGCATTGGTGGGAAGGTTGGGGAAGGAAGACCTAGAAAGTCAGTACTTTCTTCTAAGAACATCCTGAAACATATGACCAAGCTGAATTTAGATCAGGAAAAGTCCATGGCTTCCATGTCAACGTGGTAGTAAATTTACTCTGTGGTTTTGTCCAGACCTTAAATTTACTCTCATAATAGGTAATGTAGCTTCAGCACCTTGGACAACTCCTTTATAGTTCAAACCAGAATGTCCTCACCGTTTCACTGACATCAAAGTCACACACATTCCCTTACTGAGATACATAAAATGGTTTGCTTTTAATTTAATTTGGTAGGGGAACTCACATAAGTGGAAAAACACAAATTAAACACAATTTCTTTTGACCTGAAAGCATTTCTCACTAGGAATCTCTAGGTCCTCCAGCTCAATTATATGTACTATTGATTTGTGCCAGAGGACCTAGAGATTTCTATAGATAGATGCATTCTTGGAATCTCTAGGTCATCCAGAGTGAATGGTCAGCCTTTGGTGAACCTTGACTGTAGATTCACATCTAGAGATTTCTAGAGTGACTATTGTAATCAGATTCACAAAAGTCAAAGCCACAAATGAAAACAGCTGACTACATTCAATTATAATTCTTCACCTATCAAAGCATTATGAATACAATGGAAAATTGGGAGGTGATAGATGAACTGAGTAGCACTTTTCAGACGCATATTTTCGGGCATAAGCTTTTGTGGGTATCAAGCTTATTCAGATGCACTGAAGAAGTGGATCCATACCCATGAATGCTCACATTAATATAAATCAGTCACAGCTTAAATTGTCCTACCTCATTTTTTCCCCTCTCTCTCTTTCTTTCACTCTTTACCAAAATGGCTAACATAGGTATATTTCTGAAAATTGGCTGTTGTGCCTTTTCAAGTAATTTCTGACATGGCAACCCCAAGGCAAAGCAATATTTGTTCGGAGAGTTTGCTATTCCCTTCCTCTCTGAAAGAGTGACATTCCTAAGTCATTCAGCAGGTTTATATGGCTAAATGTGGATCCAGATTATAGATTCCTAAAGTCTAGTCCAAGCTTAAGCCATTACATTACATTGGCTCTACTTTGAAAACTATATAATGTGTATTATCTACAGCAATAACTTCTGTTTCTTTTGCTTAAGGTTCTCCAACTGGGTTCTGATATTCTTCCACAATACAAGCAAGAAGCCCCAAAGACTCCACCACACATAATTTTACACTACTGTGCTTTTAAAACCACCTGGGATTGGGTCATCTTGATTCTTACCTTCTACACAGCCATCATGGTTCCTTACAACGTCTCCTTCAAAACAAAGCAGAACAACATTGCTTGGTTAGTCCTGGACAGTGTGGTAGATGTCATTTTCCTGGTGGACATAGTTCTGAACTTTCACACCACCTTTGTGGGACCTGGTGGGGAAGTCATATCCGATCCCAAACTCATCAGGATGAACTACCTGAAAACTTGGTTCGTGATAGACCTCTTGTCATGTTTACCTTACGATATCATCAATGCCTTTGAGAATGTGGATGAGGTAAGCCACTGCAACCTAATGTGTCCTGGATTGCTATTGCCATAATTTATAACATTTCCATTGAAAAATACAATTCATTGTTATAACACATTCAAACATATGAGAACCTGTACAGAATTGGATCAAAGGCCAAGTGTAGCATTTAGATTCCATGGTGGCTAACCAAAATTCCCTATTGGGTGTCCAGAAGCACAATATGAATGCAATAACATTGACATTCCTTATGTTTCTCAGAAACTACCTTTAGAGGCATATTGGCCCTAAGAAATATATAGCCAGTACCACTATGACTAGTAGAAATGAGAGGATTTCATCTATGTATTCATCTAATCCTTTTTTTGAACACAAACATGTTGATAGTTATAATTATACATCCTGGCAGTTTACCCAAAATCACAGATACACCGGAACAAATTTAATTACCTGATACCTTATCCCAGATAGCACAGAGTTGTCTTACAGGACCTAGAAATTCTTAGAAAGGACATTTATCCAGGGATTTACTACTACTAGGTCATTCAGGCAGGTCTATGGTAACTTTTGAGGGAAGCATATCTTAGAATCACCTGGAGGACTTAGTTAATTCCTAGAAAGATCTCATCCCCCAATACAGGTAAGTGAAACCATAGGTATGGGTTCCATGGTTATGTGGTTGTACTATAAATAGTGGCAATAAATGAGACAATATAGTATCTTATTGGTATCTCACTCATACACAAGTTCCCTTATTGAACCAATTGGACATTTTTGTCCAGTGCAGAAGATCTGCCTTTGATTCAAGGATGAGAAAGCAGAGTTGTGGATACAGTGTGCATGCCCATAGAAGAGCATATATACACATGCAACCTTGTTTGTACATTCAATTCCATATTTGGATGTGTGTTCAGTTGCAGAACGCTGCCTTTCCATACCAGATGCAGCTTCAATCAGTTATGCTACACAAAGCTGGCAAGGGATCTTGGTCAGTGGACACAATTCAAACATTTCCTCAATGCAGCATACCTCTCTGCATGCAGAGATAAGCTTTGTGGTGCATGCTGTGCAATCTCTATGCGGAGTAGCAATACTTCATAACTCATATTGTAATCTGCGTGCTGTTGTGCAATGTACAACTGCCATGTGTAATGGTTCTGCACACACAACTTTGCTTCTATTGCTGTCGGCAGAATTTGTCAATTGTACTATAGAAGGTTGTTGTAGGTTTTTTAGGCTGTATGACCATGTTCTAGAAGCATTCTCTCCTGATGTTTCGCCTTCATCTATGACAGGCACCCTCAGAGGTTGTGAGGACCTCATAATCTCTAAGGATGCCTGCCATAGATGCAGGTGAAACATCAGCAGAAAATGCTTCTAGAACATGGCCATACAGCCCAAAACACCTACAACAACCTAGTGATTCTGGCCATGAAAGCTTTCGACAATACATTGTACTATAGTGAATATACTGCGCTTCTTGTGCAGCACAACTAATAGATATGAACAGCACTAACAGATACCCATCTGATCTGAATCTCCCACCACATGGATGAGCCATGTTTTAGTATTATCAGAGAGGACGAAATGCCCTATTCTTTCTCCATATTAAGTATGTTTTTATAGTCATGTTGTGATTGTATCCTTCCCTTTCATGTTTCTTTATCAAGCTGCAAAGATCCAAATGTTATTGTCTCTCTCTCCATAGGAGAGTTGTTCCAGCCTCTTAAATTATGTTGATTGCTGTTTTCTGCATCTTTGACTGCTTTATGACATTCTTTTTCAAGTATGAGAACTGTACACAATATTCCAGGTGCTGATTGCATCATACTTTTTGATGTTTTACTCTGGATTCTTTTCCCTCATCATTTCCAGCAAGGAGTTTAACTTTTCCCCAACAAGTACACATTCAGTTCATAGTTTCATTATGCATTTCTGCTGCAAATTCAAGATTCCTTTCTTGTCAGTCATTGCCAATTCACACCTCATCAGCAAACATTGTAGAATTAATGCAGTTTGGTACCACTTGAATTACCATGGTTCATTGTTACCATGACAACTACTATGGCTCAGGATCATGCTAGTTATAGTTTTGCAAGATCTTTTGCCTGCTCTGCCAAAGAGTGCTGGTGTATCATCAAACTACAAATCCCAGGATTCCACAGAATTGACCCAGGACAGTTAAAGTGGTGCCAAATTGCATTAATTTTACAATATGGTTGCACCAAAATATGTGAATTGGGCTTGGTTTCCCCTATCACCATCACCACCACAACAGTCAAACTTTTTAAACCTTAAGTCCCATTTCATTTCACTTGCTTACATAAAAAACTCTCTTTCAAAACCTAAATCCTTAAAAATGTTGGCCATTTCGTTGCTCAGTTCTAACTCCAGAATGATTGCGAACAAGGAATAAAATGAAAAATAGAAATGGAATCATAGAGTTGGAAGAGACCTCATGGACTATCCAGTCCAATCCCTTGCCAATAAGCAGGAAAATCACATTCAAAGCACCCCCAACAGATGGACATCCAATCTTTGCTTAAAAGCCTCCAAAGAAAGAGCCTCCGCCACACTCTGGGGCAGAGAGCTCCACTCCCAAACAGCTCTCACAGTCAGGAAGTTCTTCCTAATGTTCAGGTGGAAATGCTGTTAAATGCTTTAACATCACATGCTTATAGTACTATGATCCCACTTTAACTTCTATAGCAACATCCTATTTTTTATATTGTGTCAGATCAGAAGCAGCTCGAGAAACTGCAAGTCTCTTCTGGTGTGAGATAACTGGCCACCTGCAAGGTCATTGCCCAGAGGACACCTGGATGTTTTACCATCCTGAGGGAGGCTTCTTTCATGTCCCTGCAAAGGAAGCTGAAGCTGACAGATGGGAGCTCACCCCATCTTGCAGATTTGAACCACTGACCTTTGAACCACTGACATCCTATGGAATCCTGTTTTTTGTTTTTTAGTGAGGTACCACTAGAGCTCTCTGATTGATAACTCTTAATGCTCTCCCCTAAAATGCAAATTCCATGATTCCGTGGAATGCCAGTAAAGATTATACCACTATAATTATTTAGTGTGAAAGCCCCTGACCCCAATAGAGATCCTTAGCATCCTATTGTTGTTGTTATTATAATGCCCCACAGACATGGAAGCCAACATTTGCCATCTCTGAGTTGATTTTTTAAAGAGCTTGCTAACATTTCTCAGTCAAATTCAGTATGTATTGTCGAAGGCTTTCATGGCTGGAATCACTGGGTTGTTGTAGGTTTTTCCGAGCTATATGGCCATATTCTAGAGGCATTTTCTCCTGACGTTTCGCCTGCATCTATGGCAAGCATCCTCAGAGGTAGTGAGGTCACTACCTCACTACCTCTGAGGGTGCTTGCTATAGATGCAGGCGAAACGTCAGGAGAAAATGCCTCTAGAACATGGCCATATAGCCTGGAAAAACCTACAACAACCCACAAATTCAGTATGGATTGTCAGGATGTTATTCATAAATGTTTGGCTCTTATTAATCTTTCAAGCCTTTCCTATTTTCCTTCCCTATCTTTTTTTGATTATGTGGTATTGAATTTTAGATTGTAAAGACCTCTCCTGCCTTGCACAGCAAGTGCCATGCATCTTTCTATATAGCATTTCTACCTGAAATCCCAAGATGCAAAATCTGTCACAGAAGTTATTTTTTGTAAATCGGGTATCTCAAAGTGTCAAGGCAGCCTATTTTCTTGAAGGAACCAAAGAGCATTTCCATCGTGCATTGTCCGGGAAAAGGTGCACTGCAAATGAAGTGCTGTTGTGAAATTGTGAAGTTCACAATTCTTTGTGCATTCAGTTGTGTGGTGTTGCAAATCCCTGCCATAGTTGTGAGTATAAAATTGCACTTTTTTCTTGCTAAGGTAGTATTCTAGCCCTTATATCCCAAAACTGATTACACGAAGACAATACAGCTACCATGGCAGACAAAGGCTTTTAAATTGGAGTATTGTTTCATAAATCCTTGGTACATTAAGAGCTTGATTCATGAAGAGCACAAAGAGTAAATAAGCCAAAAGACATCTTCTTTTCCTTTCTAAATGAAGATATATTATTTCCCTGACAGAAAGGCATCCACCCATCTATTCATGCACAGCCTGATCCATTTTTAATGCACATCTACAAGCAATTTGCTTCTATTTTTTGGTCTCATTTAGTAACACTAGATTTTGTCTATGCAGAAAATCCCTTACTTTTGGAAAGTGATGAAGGCATTTAAACTTATATGCATGGGTACCAAATATTGCTCTGAATGAGTTGTGGGGTAGTTTGTGAAGGGTTGGGGAATCAGCATTGAAGTTAATGTCTAATCAATGCTTTCTAGTTTTTCTGATTCCTTACTCTGTTTATTTACCAATTGTTGTGTGTCTTCAAGTCATTTCTGATTTCTGATGACCCTAATGCGACCCTATCAAGAGGTTCATTTGGCTGGATTTGTTCAAAGTGTGTTTGCCTTTCCCTTCCCCTGAGGCTGAGAGTGTGTGACTAATTTTGTTCCAATCGTAGAGGGTTGGGGAATCAGTGCTAAAGTCAATGTCCAATCCATGCTTTCTGGATTTTCCGATTCCTTATTCTGTTTATTTGCCAATTGTTGTGTGTCAAGTCATTTCTGATTTATGGTGATCCTAATGCGACCCTATCAAGAGGTTTCTTTGGCTGGATTTGTTCAAAAGGTGTTTGCCTTTCCCTTCCTCTGAGGCTGAGAGAGCATGACTCACAATCTATCTGGACTGTTATTTTGTCTGTCTGTCCATCCGTCTGTCTGTCTGTCTGTCTATCTATCTATCTATCTCGACTATTATTTTGTTCATCCATCTATCCATCCATCCATCTATCCGTCTATCCATCTATCCATCTATCCATGTATCTACCCTTCTCTCTTTCACTTTCCAATGCAAATTTTCATGGGGGTGGGGGGTGGGGTGGGGAGAGAAAGAGACCAGATGGTCCAATGACTGAAGTGCAGTAGCATGGGCAGCAGCTCC